CGGGGCCGGGCACAGGGCGCATGCGCGGGCTGAGACAAGGGCATGGAAGCGAAGCAGCTGGTGGAGCGTGCCTGCCCCCAGCCTTTGCAAAGTCCAGGGGGCACCATTCTCAAGCTATCGCTTTTTCTTGCAGGCACAGCATCAGCTATCCTTAGGAAGCAGTTTAAATAACTTTACTGTGATGAATCAGTGCTAAATAAACCCATGTAAAAAGTGCAACCGATGAAGTTGTCATGATTATGAGGGTTAGCCAGCAGCCTGGGAATTAAGGAGTTTACTACACCTAGCCAGGGGTGGAGTGACCAGTAGGAATATACAGTAGGTGGGACTTTCAAACTGGGACAAAGGAATTTGGGTTTTTTCTTTTTCTCCTTTTGTCTCTCTGGGTGGGTCCTCTGCAGCTACAGGGAGGGAAAAGCATGTCTGTCTGTCTGTCTCTCTCTCCAAGAAACAATTCTTCACTTTCTATAAGTAGGGTAAAGTTTAGGTAAATCCATCAGGTTTTCTTGTTTTATGATTTGGGTATGGGATCTGATGTCTGGCACTGTTTAAAAGATGTTTTGGCTTTTCTTTGAAACTAAGTTCTAGGCCCATGGAGTTTCTCCATGGCTGCGTCTAGACTGGCAAGTTTTTCTGCAAAAGCAGCCAGTTTTGCAGAAAAACTTGCCAGCTGGCTACACTGGGCGCTTTGAATTTGCGCAAGAACAATGACGGTCTAATGTAAGATTGTCAGTGTTCTTCCTCAAATACAATGACTCTCCCATTCGGGAAAAAGCCCTCTTGTACAAATGCTTTTGCGCAAGAGGGCCAGTGTAGACAGCTGAGAAGCTTTTTGGGCAAAAAAGCCCCAGTGGCGAAAATGGCAATTGGGGCTTTCTTGCAAAAAAACATTCGTGCCAATCTAGACGCTCTTTTCCACAAATCCTTTTAAAGGAAAAACTTTTCCATTAAAAGCATTTGCGGAAAATCATGCCAGTCTAGACGTAGCCCTTGAGTATATTTTGTTACCTTCCCATCTAGTTATTATGCTTGCAACAGGAATATTGTTGTAATAATAGTTCTTTCTTTTCTTTTTATTAACCTAGCATTGGTTAATTGTGTGCCCTGATTTTTATTCTAGGGGTGAGATTTCCCAAATGATCTTTCCCCTAATCTCATTATTAATATTTGGGTGGTGATAGCGGAAGTTTTATTCCCAAAATCTAGGGTTTTGAGATTTTGGGGGAAGTTTTATACCAAAGCCTGGTAGATAAGGCTTTGGGGTGCACCTGCTGCCCCCCACTTCTGCATTTATTGTGCCACAGTGGGGAAGGAGCCATGACAAATTGTCACAAAATTATGTGTAATTTAAAATGAATCTTTCCCCCTAGTTCTGCAAAGTGTCCTAATCAGAATCCTAATTAGCAGATAATGTTAAGTGCCACTTGAAATTCTTGTACAGTGGAAACATAGGAGGGTTGAAGCAAAATGGTTCTTGTTCAAAAATGGAATGCAGGCTAATTAGCACTGCCCAAAAAGTTTTAGTAAACCCAGGAGCTGCAATTCTATTGGCGTACTGCCAGGACGCTTTTAGGAGGAACTAGTTCAAGACTGTGAAACTTGTAGATAAACAATTTTGTGTGTTATTAGCACTTAATGCATTCCATTAAGTTGAATAATTCTGCTTGTTTTTCACCTTAGAAATATCACAGCTGCCAGGCTAACTCTCTCAGGGTTAGCTAAAGATTTCCTTGGAGGACTGGAGAAATGATGGTGCATGTAAGGGACTCTTGCACATCAATTGGGGACATTAAGCCTTTGAGCTTCTCTCTCTGCTGTTTTATAACTTAAAAAAATAAACCTCCAAAGCTTGGAAACAACTTCACTACAAATCACTTCTTCCTACAGGTTTCATTTCCTTGGCACCTGTAAAACCACACATTTTCTTCACTTGTCCTTCAGAGTGTATCTTCACTGAAAGGTAAGCCCACCATTTATTGGACTCAAGTCGGTTACTTGACCCATGGTAGCCCTGGGATTCAGCATATACACTGTTTTGTAACTCTAGATTAAGAAGTTTCTGACCCATGGTGCATAAACATAAGGCTCTGGTGTCCACACTGTAGTGTACAGAGTTGAGTCAAAGTAACCATATCCCAGAGTTCCTGGTGCTCCTGCTCCCCTCCCCTCCCCTCAAATGTGGCCATTCTAGCTGTGGTTCGGAGGAAAATTTCACTGCCTGCCAATTACCAGGAGGCAGCTCCCTTACAAAGGCTTGATCAGTTTGCTCTCCATTGCAAACCCAGGAGGATCTCTTGCTCAGCCTTGGATCATGCAGAGGCCTCTTGTGGGGAGACCCAAGGGAGAGTGGCACAACTGGCCCAGGCTGGAACTTTCCCTCAGGACCTTCAAGATGGACACAGCCCCCTGATGGGCCTGCTGGCTGACAGCCATGCATGGCTGCTCGAAGGCCCTGGTGAGCCACTCAGCCTCTGCCCCCCACCCTGGCAGGAGCATCTCACTCTCTATGTTCACAAAAGTTGTGTAGGTCACAGCATGCAGCCACCGCTTGGGGGACTGTTCCAGTCGCTGTGGTCTAGCCAAGTGAGGAAGGAACGGAACCTCCCTTTCAGATGACCAAAGGTGCACTCCACAACAATGCGGGCCCTACTGAGCCTGCCATTGAAGCATTCCTGGCTTTGGTCAAGGCGTTTAGCGTAGGGCTTCATTAGCCAGGGGAGCAGAGGGTAGGCTGCGTCTCCTACAATGCACATGGGCATGTCCTCATCCCCGACCCTGATGGTGCAGTCAGGGAAGAAAGTGCCAGTATGCATCATCTGAAACAGGCTGAAGTTCCTGAAGACATGGGCACTGTGCACCTTCCCCAGCCATCCAACATAGATGTCTGTGAACTGGTCATGGTGGTCCATGACAGCCTGCAGGACCACTGAAAAGTACCCCTTGTGGTTAGGGGCCTGCATGGGGATATGGGTGCTGTCAGTAGCCCCCCCACACACTTGGGGAGCCTATGGTGGCAAAGCCAGCGACGATGAGGTCCACGTCACCCACGTTGATGACCCTGTGCAGCAGGACGGTGCTGTTGGCCCTCACCACCTATAGAAAGAGACAAATAGAGAAGCACAGAATTTCCAGTCATTGGAAGGTCCCTGAAGCCAACCCCTCTTTTTCCCCCACACTAGGAGCAACTCCTACTTACCCCATCTCTTGGCAGGGGTTTGTGAAGGCAGAACTGAAAAACCTCCCAGGGAGGAAGCTTCCATCACCACTCCCTTCTCTAGGGTACCTCATTCCAGCAGTTCACTCCCCCCGGGACAATGGCACACGAGAGTCATACCTGCATGAGCAGAGCCCCGATGGTCAATCTCCCTCTGACGATCTGGTTCCCCAGAGCGGAAGCTGTCCAATGTGGCGAGCATCCAGATAGTGAGGGCAACCTGCTTCTCGAGGGGATGGTGGCTCACATATGGGTGTTCCATCGCGTGAGGGCAGGAGCGCGCCCCTCACGCAGCTCCAGGAAGGTGTCCGTCCGCATGCGGAAATTCCAGAGCTGCTGCTGGTCACTCCATCACTCCATGACAATCTGGTCCCACCAGTTGGAACTGGTGTCCAGTCACCAGAAGCAGCAGTGCACGGTGTGCAGAGGAGTGCAGGTGGGGTTGTGCTGCGTGAGTAGTGTGTGGAGAGGAGAGGCGGTGCCCCACAAGCTGGGGGACCCCCTCTTGCAAAGCCACGAGGGCAGCCTGTAGAAACTGCACCAAGAGGCGCGGCATGAGATTTAGGAGCGGTTGACTGCTGGGCAGGTCCGGCTCCATGGCTGGAGAGCTGTGGTGTCTGCAAGGGCAACCAGCATACACAGTGAGAAGGCTTTGCTATCCCACAAGGAAACTGGCAAAAGAGAGAAGCCTGAGACATGGCTGTACGGGGGGCTGGGGGAGAGGGTCCCTTTAAGCACAAGCCTCAGATAGCCTCAGGCAGCAGCTCCAGGAAGTGACTGCTGTCCTGATGCCCTTCCTGACTTGCTTCCAGGTGGCTTTAATGCAATTCAGCACCCAATGAATGTGGACACACTTTTGAAATAGCTCAGTGCTATTTTGACAGACCTTTGCTGTGTAGATGTGCTATTTTGAAATAGCTTATTCTGAAATAAGCATGCAGTGTAGATGTACCCTTAGAGACTAACAGACAAAATATATATACACACACACACACACACACACACACACACACACACACACACACACACACACACACACACACACACACACACAATAATGGGTTTTCATGGGCAAACCCCACTTCTTCAGATAAGCTTGAGGAAGTGGTTTTGCCCACAAAAGCTCATGATACTATATACATTTAAAAAAATAGATTTTGGTAAGGGACCTCATCAAAGGCTTTCCGGAAATCTAAGTACACTATATCCAGTGGGTCCCCCTTGTCTACATCCCTCAGAGAATTCTAGTCGAGTGGAGATGCATGATTTCCCTTTACAAAAATCATGTTAACTCTTCCCCACCTAATTATGTTCATCATGTGTCTGACAATCCTGTTCTTTACTACACTTTCAACTAGTTTGCCCGGTACTGAAATTAGACTTACTGGTTTGTAATTGCCAGGCTCACTTTAAAAAACTTGGTATCACATTAACTATCATCCAGGCTAGAGCTGTGAATGTTTAACCAGTACACCTCACCCTTAATGGATGAACAGCCTCCCTCCCCACTGTGGATTTGGGCTGCTTTGGCCAGGCTGAAGCACTCCTGCCGCCCCTGGCGTGTCAGGAAACTCTCTCCACCTCTTGTAAACAGTGAGGTGCATTCGCTTTCTCTCTCTACCAGGTAAACAGTGGTTCTTACTCTAAGTTCTTTCTGTACAGCACACAAGAGGAAGCCAATAAAATACTGCTGATAAAAAGAAACCGTCAAAGGTAAAAGTTTACATTTTTAAAAGCAATTTAGGCACTTTGAAGCCTAAGTCTTCTTGTAAGTCTTAAGAGCTCAAAACCGAAGTCATTTAGGTGGTTTTTGAATTCTACTAATCTACCCAGACCAGGGAAAAAGTATCAGCACCTTTCATAAAGACAGATCTATATGGTTTTGGCTCACATGTTCCTTGTAGCATAGACAATGCCTTGGAACTTATAGAACCTGTGTTTTTGCTGTCAGTTTCAAAATTCCAATTGCAAAAATAGTTCTAAGTTTAATGCTTAAGTCTAGAATTTCAGACTGTCTGGGGCAATGATTAGGTCTACTACTGTGTGTGTAGAATACTCAGCACAAGGTGGCTCTGCTCTGGCTGGGACATCTCAGTACTACCATAATAAAAATGGATTTTGGCAGTTAAAATCCATGGGGAAGAATGTTCTGAAATAACTATTTGGAAAATTCAGGAGGAAGCAGGGTTCACAGCAGAATGTTCTTAATTTGTGCATGAGCTACACAGCACGTTAAGCACAAGTTCTCAAGTGGTGCTAGGCCATTTGAACAGGGTGACTTTCACCTTTTGAATTATTGAAGGCATTAAGTGAAAGGAGAAGTTCAAGGGTCTGATTCTGTGAGGTCATCAAGGATCTGAGCTCTGACTGAAGGTGCTCAGCCCACAGTCAAGCCCCAACTATAATTTGTAATTATAGACATTTATTGTACTAATAAATTATATATTTTTTATTTAAATAAAAACCATCTTGGAGCACAAGATCTCACTACAGAAATCTCAGCTGTTGAATCTGTGTCAAGAAGTGGTGATTTTTTTGGTCTAAATTACTAAGAACATAACAGCTGTAGTAGGTCCGACCAGTGGTTCATCTAGCCCAGTATCCTGTCTGCGGACAGTGGCCAATAGCAGATGCCCCAAAGGGAGGGAACAACAGGCAATCCTCACATTTGTCACCCATTTCCAGACAAACGGGCTAGGGACAACATTCCTACCCATCCTGGCTAATAGCCATTCATAGACCTAACCTCCATGAATTTATCTAGTCTTTTTTTGAATCCTATTAAAGTTCTAGCCTTCACCACATCTGCTGGCAAGGAGTTCCAGATGTTGACTGTGTGCTGATTGAAGAAAAACTTCCTTTGTTTGATTTAAACCTGCTACCTATCATTTGGTGACCCCTAGTTCTTACACTGTGGGAATAAGTACTGTAAGTAACTTTTTTCCTTATTCACTTTCTCCACACCAGTCATGATTTTATCACATCTCCCCTTAGTCTCCTCTTTTCTAAGCTGAAAAGTCCAAGTCTTAAATATTTCTTCATATGGGACCTGTTCCAAACCCTAATAATTTTTGTTGCCCTTTTCTGAACCTACTGTGCATGGATTAGCAAGAAAAGTGTAAAAACTCTGGAGATCCTGAGACAGGTTCTGAAACTGGCAGGAGTTTGTAGAGCACCACTGACTGCCATGGTGTTTCACCGTACACCACTTGAGGATCTGTCTCTGTTTTACTAAATTTATATATACTTGGACTTTGAAAAATCCCATCCAAAGTAGCCTGCTGAAGTGCATTCCTAACAACTAAGGGCACAACTTTATGATAAGAAAGGAGTAAAAAGGAATCACCATTTGATGATCACAACCAAAAAGAAAGTGACTCAAATCCTGCACCCTGTGCAGGGGACCCTGTTTGGGGTTCTCAATGTAAGCAATGTGCATTTTTTTGGTTAAAGACAGTTAAACAGCAGGACTGAATTGCTATTCAAATAACATGTATTTGTTTAAAACAATATTAATACATTTGCTCAGAATTCTTTCCAGAACTTTTCAGAATATAGCTCGATTTCCAAAAATGTACATAACTTGCAAAAAACAATACTGATTAAAAAAAGATGATTGATGGTACCTTAAAAATACCCATAATGTCAAACTGACCCCCATCCTGCTTTATAATTAGTGTAAGATTTCCTCCTGAAAATTACTCTTCTTTTCTCTAAACATGGGTACTGAAATTGAAGTAATTAGAAACACTATGAATGTGAGAATACCACCAATTGTCTGTAGTTAAAAAAAAAAAAAAAAAGAGAGATCAGAACCTTCTTTGGAATCACTGAGTTATCAAAAATTTGGATTTTTCTACAGTCTCCGCACTTTCTTTTCAAACCAGTCTGTATACAGGTTTCAAGTCTTTCAGCAGTTTAATATTCATTGTCTGAAAACAGAGTCTCTGACCAGCAGGCATATTTTATTCATGACTTCTGCCAAAAATAAGGACTTCAGAGTGAGAGACAGAATGTCCTGGTTTTAGGAGATTATGTACTTCATGTGTATATTTCCAGTGCAATTTTTTTTCAGCACTTGTGATAGGTGAGAGAAAGAGGGGTTTGGGGGAGTGGCGGGGGAGAGAAGACGCTTTTGTAGTCTTGCTTGGAGATAACCAACAGCCATAAAATGTTGAACTATAAGCTTTTATAGCCGCTAAAGCCAGTTCCCCAGCACTGGCAAGTTGGGTTAGTTTATTTCTAAGAAACAGACTATGGTGTAGCATGAAATCTGGTCACGGGCTATGGTTTGATGTGCGTATAGATTGATTAGAGATGCTTGTGTCCTGCAGTATTGGCTGGAATCGATTAGAAATAAGTCCATGATGCTTCTCCATGTGTCATGAAATATGCGAGATCTGTCTGACTCTAGTCTGTATTTCCTGTCGACACAATGGGCAGGTCTCCAGTTGCAAGGCACACTCCATGCACAGGTCACTGAAGAAGAGAAGATCAGTTACAAATCTGAATGTATGCTGATTTTTTTTAAAAAGTAGAATCAATCCGGATGCCAATAAATTCATTCAATACAAACATTTCATTCAACCCCTGTGGAAAAAGGGTCAAAGAGATGGATTTCCTCAATGTGAAGGATAGGTACAGTCTCATCAGCTTCCACTAGAATCAACGGACGCTCACAAGTCTCTGTCTCTTGCAGGAGACCATCCGAATCTTGCAGAATTTAGGTCCTCACTAGAGGCGATTGGGAGAGATATTCTGCCCACCTACTCAATCCTAGGACTTCCTGCTAACTGTCAACATGAATGCCAATGGCAACAGTCACATTATAGGGGAGTCCACAGATCACAGAGCTGGACACTTAGCTGCAAACTCATTTCATACAACTTAAAAACCATCATGGGAATGACATTAGAGGTACTTAATTAACTGTATTTGATCTGGTGACTTGGTAAAAGGATCCAGAGGGCATTAAAAGCCAGTCCCATTCTTTATTTTCTCTAAACAATATTGTATTTTATGTAGAGCTTTTATACTGTACTTATCTCAAGACACTTTCCAGACCAAGGAGTTAAATGTGGTAATGAAGGCACCATAAAGACACACAAAAGCAGGTCTATGTTTAGCAATAGCACACCATAGCCCCGCTGGATATTAAATCTCTTTTGGTGATGGAGATGTTGGCCAAATGACTTGTGTTTATTTATCCTATAGTTTATTTCAAATCTTAGAGAGACAGATTTTTGTGCAAGTGAGGTAGTCAAGAGACGAGCAGAAGTTGTTCTTTCAGAAATGTAGTGCAGACAGACAAGATGTGTTTGTTTAATTTTACCTGTGTCCACATGGCCTGAGTTCTGTGTCTGCTACCTCATCACAGCACAGCGTGCAGCAGTTCTCTCGAATACTCACTTGCTTCAGCAAAGCCAAACGTCTATGTCTGAAATAGACGTACAAGAAAAACACATCAAACTGCACTCCTCAGTAATGGAGCCAGACCAATACCACAGCTCCAGATATTTTTCTACTACACAAATTCTTTATTGTTTGTCAATTAAAAACAAATCAGTAAAAAGACTCCTAATCACGTACAATTATTTGGGACTGTCTAACAATGCTATTTTGGCTACACTGGGGGGATGGTTGGAAGAGGAGGTTAGACTAGATGACTCAATCCATCTTTTTCCATTTCCAATTCCTATGACTTCTGAAATAGAACGTCTAAATGTGAAAAAAAAAATCTCTTATGATTTAGTTTGATAATGGTATATAATAAGAATGGGTTTTAAAAAATTCTCAATATGCACAAAATCTCAGAAACCATATAATATTTTAAGACTGTTTACAACAGGGGTGGGGAATCTCAGGCCCAGGGGCTGGATGCTCAGTGCTCCCCTCCACCCCCGCATTGGGGAACCTGCGTCTGTTGTGGGACCGGAACACACAAACGTCTACTACCCTGGGCCCCACTAGGCTCTGGTGTGCAAGGGGAATGTGGGGAGTGTCTTTCTCCTTCTCAGTCAGGGGCCAGGGCAGTGAGGGGCTTAAAAAAAACAACAACCAAAAACCACTTCTCACTTGTGTGTGGCCCCTGACTGATTTTTCTGTGGGTCACCCCTGGTTTACAAGAACATAGATGCAAAAGGGGACAACCCAACATATCAAGCCACGCAACAACTGGAAAAAAGACCAGGATGTAGACAGGAATGTATGGTGTGTTAGTGTAAGGACATGTCCATGGTACAGAATTAATAAAAGCTTTACTCCATTTGTTTGGATTCTAACAATGGAATTAGAGTTTTATGCTCGGCCAACACCAATACCATGGAATATCAGGTGAGAAATACAGGAAGACAGGCTATAGAACAATTCTTTTTGAACACAACTAGTGCTAAGTAGTTGAAGGGACCTTCTACAATAGATTTAAAAATAAAAAGGAGATTTTCTTGATAAGTTTTGAATAAACATAGGGAAGAGGCTGAAAAAAAAAAAAGTCAAAAAGTGTATGGTGTACAGTGGGGCCATACTTCTAATCAGTTAGTATTGAGAGAGAAAGATGCCTGAGAAAAATGCATCAGAACTTTCACGGATGAAAGAAAAAATTCTTTCAAAACCCAAGAAATGATAAACTTCAGCTCTAGTTCTCTGCACTCCCACGAGGTAAGAGGAACTCTGGGTGAACCCACGACACAAAGTATAAATGTAGGTTCAGTCCCTTGTTGATTTTTCCCCCCCACTCGCTCTCAGTATTTGTGGGACTTCTGGTACTTGCCAGAAAAGGAATGAAGTGAAACGAGAGAGCAACTCATCTGGAGATGCAGGGTCACTTGGGGCGTGCCAGGAGGATAAGAGCTTTAAGGGTACTGTGACAGACCCTGTTGTATTGTGTATCCCAGAAGGGTTTGTTTAGCTGTACGCAAGCTGATTCGGTCAGGCACGCGCACAGGAGGCCCTCGTAAGAGGCGAGTTGTCTGACCACAAGAACTATCTTTACACACTAAAAGTTCGGGTTTTGCCCCAGGTCAGATGGTCAGTTAGTGGCCAAGCAGGACCACAAGACACTGGTTCCCAGCACTTAATCACACGTTCACTCGTTATCTAAAGCTAGAATCGAGACTTTCCTTTTGCAGAAATGCAACATTTATTTTATCTAAATCAAAAAGAAGCTCAGAGTATAAATTGGGCCAAAAATAGTTGCCAAAAACAGTTCAGAGTGGTCTTTGGAATAGACTGGCAATTCCACAGCATCCTTCATAATAGGGAAGTATTTTTATTGCGATTAGGAGAAGAGATCAATCACTTCAGGCTTTACAACTGCTTATAAAGTGCATCTACATGGCCAATATCACAAAGGAGGTCACTTTTAAACAAGATTATTTTTCTTCAATTAACTTCAGTTTATACATGGCAGGAACTGCTTCTTACCATGTATTTTAAAGACAGTGCTAGGTAAAATCAGTTTAACTTTAAAACTGCACAGGCAGTGTAGTTTAATGAGTACGGAAGACAGGACAAAAGGTTTTGCTGAAGTGAAGCCTAGTCCTTATCTGAAAGGGACATGCTAATCACATCCAGAATGGATCACTTAAAGTTAGATATGTTTTAAGAGCATGCAGTACTAGACCATTTACACCAGAAATTTAACATCCTGTGTCACATTTGTTCACTGTATGAATGTGGCATACCCAGGCAGACAGATTACCTTGGTAAAATTATTTTCTCCTCTGCTGTCAGGAAGGCATAGTCATTAAAGGTGCTAAATTTGACTGAAGGCGAATACTTGAAAGGTTTTGCTCCAAAATTGAACTCACACTGTTGGTAGGACATGAAACTAGCTGCAGCAAAAAAGCCAGATCTGCAATTTGAAGGAAAGCATGAACATCAGAAAGTTGTAGTGTAGACAGAACACACTGGATAGGAAGACACCTTTATAATTGTACCAAAAGCGCGCTCATCCTGGGACAAGACTCCCAATAGTATAAGCCAGCCAGTGTTACTTAGGAGAGAAATTCCAGGGTAACTGATTTTAACAGCCCTTTCTTTACTTGATTCTTTATTTCTGAATTTAATTAAGATATGTGAACCAAGTCCATAGCCACTTTCTGTCAGAGCTTCCACTGGCTACAAACAGGATAAGTTGCACCTACGTGGAAGGTAAACACATGCGCCTGAGTAGGTGAAAACACTATTTTCCTTCCAACTGATACACAACCTAACAAGAATACCTGATTTGTCCCAAATGGGGCTGTTCGTTGGTACTCGGGGAACCTGTTCAAATACAAAGGGTTCACATCACTACCCCTATTTTTCCCTGATTTAACACAGCACAATATTTGGGGAGCACCAAGCAAATTAGGAGTGTGCAAAAAAGTTGACACATCTGAAGCAATAAGAACAAGGTTTTATTCTTTTATCTCCAAGAGAACCAAATTCCACATTATAACATTGCACGTGTCCCATAAGTTGCTACAATAATGTTGGGATTTCCATTTCCTTTAGAACTAGTTTTGCGGGGTGAAGTGCTTCAGTGCATGAATAGTGCTACACTGTTACATAGCTTCTTAGGCATCTTAAATCAAGAATCTCTCTTGATATATCAGAAATTTTAAGATTTTTGTTCTGCATACTACTTCACAAAGAAAAGGCAAACTGTCAAAGCTTACTAGGGGAGGCACGTACACAGTTTTAACAGGAGTTGTGTGTATAAGTATAGCTTCTTTGTGTAGCATCAGTTTGGATCCCAATAAGTCACTACACTGAAACAGAGGGAACTATTCATAACAGTAAAGTTAAGCACATGCATGAATGTTTGCCGGGCTCGGCCTTTGGTTATTTTTCAAAACCTCAAGCAAAGATCCTTTCATTAGCTCTCCAAGTGCTTGGATTACTCTGCACTGAAAATAGCTTGAGAATCACTGATCAGTCCTATTTATACCCAGGGCCATACAGCGAACAGTACACAATAACCAGTTAACGTTCAACACATTTCTCTCCTACTTTCTAGGATCAGAATCTGGCCTTAGACTAATTACACTTGTATAAATCCACAGTAATGTAATTGGATTTAGGCAGATACACGCTTCACCCCTGGATACACGCTGGGGTGAATAAGAACAGAATCTGGGCACAGCAATATATATGATTATTTTGGCTGTGAGGTGGTGATTATGCAAGCTGGAAAGTGTTTGTTACATTTCTGTTGGATTTTCATGTTACTGTAGTGTCAGCTTGACACTACAAAAAGCTGTATTAAACTTGGACTAAAAAAAGTGTTTGCTTTGGCCCTTGAATCCATTTGTAAATTCATTCCTCATATCATTGGAGTTTAACTCCCAGTATTTTCAATAAGGAACTTTGCTTAAAAGTAATAGCATCTACAACTAGTAAATATTAATTTACTGTGAAACGAAATCAGAATTTGATTTTTTTCTTTTAAAGAGAGAGAATCGTTATCCATATGCACTTTAATTCTTGTCTCTTGTCAAAATGAAAATATATTTACACTGCAGATGAAAACACTT